GAAAGTTCTTCCGGGAGAAGATGTTGAAGAACGGGACGGTAATGCCTATGCCAGACATTCGGGATAAGATGCCCCAAAGGTCGTTTTTGCCCCGCGCCATCGCGGCAAAGCTCCCGTTCTCCGCCGCGAAGATCGGGGACCTCAAGCGGCTGTTCCACGCCGCCGACGGCTCCGCCATGGAGAAGATCCTGGCCGACACGCTGGCGGAGTGCGAGCGGGCGCCGAGCCGCGGCGAGACGAAGCGGTGCGTGACCTCGGTGGAGGACATGATCGACTTTTCGACGAGCGTGCTGGGGCGAAACGTCGTCGTACGCACGACGGAGAACACGGAGGGATCGAAGAGGGACATAATGGTAAATTCGGTGAAAGGAATCAACGGTGGAAAAGTCACCAGATCCGTCTCCTGCCACCAAAGCCTGTACCCTTCCTTGGTGTATTACTGCCACTCCGTCCCCAAAGTCCGGGTCTACGAAGCGGATATTTTGGACCCGAATACCCGGTCCAAGATCAACCACGCTGTCGCCATCTGTCACATTGACACGTCATCTTGGAGCCCCACCCACGGAGCCTTTCTCGCCCTCGGGTCGGGTCCCGGCAAAATCGAGGTTTGCCACTGGATCTTTGAGAACGATATGACTTGGGCCGTTGCAGACTAAACCCGGCCCACCTTTTCGCGTTTCAATCGCGTCGACCCGGGCGGGTTTTAAAGGAAAAGAAATAAGAAGCCGCTGTTTCGACCCGTTTTGTCTCATAAGATCGCCTAGTTCACGTCTTCCAAGTTACATGTGTTATGTTGAGTAAATATTTTACTCCCTCCGTCCCAAAATAGATTACAATATTTCCTCACATTTTTATCCTAAAAAGAATTACAAAGTCAATAATTTTACAAGGAATTGACTCTTTTACCCTCCCACTCCTACACTTTTTACACACTATTCATCCATGTGAGTGGGAAGGATACTTGGGGGATTTGGGGGGTAATTTAGGAGAAAAAAATTTGATTTGACTCTTCCTTAATTTCAACAAAAATGGAATATCGTAATCTAAAGTGGGACGGAGGGAGTATGTTTTATAATCGTTTTAATAATGGTTCTCCCACAATAAATAAAAGCTAAATTCATCTTCATACGGAGTATGTTGTGCGTCTCAGTCTTTGTCCAATTTGATTTTTTTGAGGAAGACTAGTTAAATTTTAGGTTTCAATTAAATAAAAATTGTAATTTATTCTAACATCAAAGTAACTTTATTCTAGGCGAAAGAGTATTGAACGAGAGTCGAGAATGCTCAAATTAAGAATCCAGTGAAATTGCAAATATTAGTGTGTAAGAGAACATTTCTTTTCCCCTCTTTGAAGAGGGGCTTATATACATACTTACAAAACGGGCCTTTTCGATTGTTGGTCCAAAGTCCAACGGATCGGGCCCACTAAGATATGGTCGTTTAACCAGCGGAGCCAACCATATGATTATTCCTAGGGTAGCTATACAAAATAGGTTACAAATAAGGTGGCTGCAACTAATCTGGCGGAGGCGTGGCAGGGGTCTAATCGTGGGTCGCCTGATTTGACTAGTCACGCAGCTTCCCACTTTGAAAAATGTGTAAAGTCACATTTTTAAAAAATTATTTTATTCATAAGTTGGTATATCATAAAAAAAATATAAATTACAATGTTTAAAACCACACCCAAAGTTTTACAAGTACCAGAATATGTTACCTAGGGGTGGGCACGGGCCGGTCCGAGTCCAAATTTATATAAACCGGACTCGGCTTGTTTTTATTAAAACGGTCCGGGCCCGAACGGGTTTTCAAAATTTTAAAATTGGAACCGGACCTAACCCGGCTTGTTTGAAACGGGCCGATTCCACAGGTCAACGGGTCCGAACCTGTCATAATACTTACATTCTTCAAAACAAATAGAAATTATAGAATAATGCCTTCAAAGTTCAAAAAAGAGGAATAAATGAAAAAAACAATGACAAAGAGGGGCATGAGAGTAAAATGTACACCCCATGATCATCCAACAACAACAACAAAAAGAAGACAACCACATTTTGGCATTATAATGTCAATAGGTTTCAAAAAGTGCAAAAGTGACGATTTTCATGGCTTCCAAAAAATCCAAAAAACCTGCAAAAAACAAAATTTTAAAATCAACCATATTCCACACACAAAAATATGCAAATGACTTTTGATTCAATAATACACTTTTTTTCTAATTCAGTGGAAATTAGCTTCATTTATTGAACATGACTTATGCACTTCTGCGGTTCTGCACTGTGATTGGCTAGGTTGCACTGGGACGGGTGCGGGTACATATACGGGGACGGGGACGGATTCGGGAATCGGCATTTTTAAAAATTTAAGGATGCGGGGACGGCAAGGATTCGGCAACAAAAGATAATTAAAATATTAAGTATAAGCATGTAAATGTTAAAAATAATGTTCAAGTTAAATAATGTTACAATAGATGTTAAACAACTAAAATTAAATAAGTAATATCAAACTAAAATTTCTAGTAAAATTAGTTAAGTAATATCAAACAACTAAAATTAGCCAAGTAAATTTCCAGTAATATCAAACAAAGAAAAATTAATTAAGTAAATTGCAAAGTCAATT